TTTTAATGAAAACGTTAGAAACCCGAGAGTACGATTCGTATTAATCGTCATACGAGCCCATACTTTTAACATTCAATAGTCATACCTCAAAATTGTATACATATAGTGCCATGTCTATACATAAACACTCTAGAGATCACTTCTACGTAGCCGTAGAAAACTTATAAGAAAGCTCATAGGGGAAGAGTGAATGATCCCTTGCAGCTCATGGCGAGTGATTTGAAGCACAGCTGGAGCTCACGTGAGCTAACCATTTCAACAAATATACCTTTAGGAAGCCATCCACCTGGACCTATCACATTTATTCAGAAGTGCCCCATACAATATACCGTGAGAAGTTGTGACTCCCCTATAGGATAGTTCTTGGCAATTTATGGGTGCCTCTCTATGATAGCCCTTGAGGACTTATGGATATTCCCCTAGGAGAAGGCTTGAAGACTTATGGGTCTGAGTGTAGATGAGCTAGTATGGATATAGGTCTTGTCAACACGCTCACACCCACACCAACTGATAAATAAGAGCGTTTCTATAGAATCTACTCACGAAAAAAGAGCCGGTCAAGAGACCCGCTCTGACAAAAAAGAGCTGGTCATCGTCAATGTGAACCAGTTCATCCAGCTCATTGAGCTGTGAGCTGTCATATATCTAATTGCAACGATGCACATACACTACTCATAAGCATCGATTTCTAGTGGAATCTATGTTAATTACTACCACTACAGGTTATATCATAGTAGCGTAGGGCCTCATTTATCGAACAGTTCTAGCAATGACACAGGAATGCAAACATATATGTTGGTCAAAAATGAAGATCGGATTTTAAATTGAATTGATGAACATGATATAGTAGTAGTAGTGGATCGGGATTTCCGGAATAGTGCCGGGATCATACGAGTTTTGAGCATTGACTTATGTATGCCGAACTTCCTGAATGGTCGGCATCGATTTGACGAACTTGAAGCAAATCCAGCACACTGTATTAAGAAGATTCGTTGACTGGTTGAATTGACTAATGGTATGGTGAAGCATTTCCAATGGCTAAACCAAACCATTCAAAATTCAACAATTCCTTAGGTGCGGGATTACTTACAGATTGCTTGCACTCTTGTTAAAGCTAACCGCGCTGTTGCAATTTCTTCGTTTTAAAACGACGATCAGCCTGCTGTCAAGATGTTGATATGCCTTCATGAACCAAACATACTTCGTGCGCGCCAGACCAACGAAAATTTCAGTCGGCCCAACAGTGATGCATCTGGTCTTGTAGATTTTTCTATTCTTATACTCGATCAAATTCGACTGATAATCGTCAACATCTAGTGGTATTATGATTTTTGTTGGCATAACTAGATTAAATTCATTTCCCTACTCATTTCAAAAGAAATATTTGCTGTATAGACATCTTTTTCCTTCAAGTGAAGTGATTTTTTGCAAGCGACAACTAACAGTATCGAAAATTTTCGTTTAGATATTCACAGACGCTACAGTAACGCAGTTATTCTATTTACAAAAACTGTTTCACCTCAAAGACCTATGTTCATTTCTGCTAATAAATCTTCTCATCGATATCTTTTTGTTTTTGTGTACAAGTGTTTCAATTAAAGCAGGTTCGTGCTTACTGTGAAGAACATCACTCGACCTGACTTGGATAATCGTGCTATTTTTCCACTACACATCTGCAACGCTGATTCCCAACGTATTTGAATCGTCTGAAATTCCACCATAGCAACACGATAACATATTGTACCTGTTCAGTTTACTGAGTAAGAGATCCAAAGCAGTTGCTGAGGCTGTCCAGGTAGTGGCAGAAAAGTTGGTGTGTGGTTACATCTGGCAGCTACTGTACGATTTTAGAGATACGAGCGTTATCGCAATCATACTTTGGCAAATCAGCCATCTGATTTCTACTGCAAACTCCTTGACGATAGTGGGTTAGTAGATGACTTTGCTAAATCATCCGATGGTGGTGACGATGTTTTATATTGTCTTTCATAATGAAAAAAAGGAATAATAAGAAGAAAAATTTTTGATACCTTTGAGCAACACGATAACTGACAAAGGAAATCACAAGACAGCTCCATTGAGCGATTATTTTTAGTTCTGAAGCAATGAGTACGCCGAACGAAATTCGCACGTTGGTTTGCCGGCGCTCTGATTGCTTCATAAATGAAACCACGATTTTCAGTCATAGAAAACGATATACTGAGGTTCTGTCACTATCACCATTAGGTTTTTCCGGGGTGAAGAATTCGACTTTGAACTCTACTTTCTTGAAACTCTACTGACGGGCCAGAAAGCAATAGAAATCGAGTTTTTCGAAAAACTGATACTCATAGGTTATTTGAGGTTGGAAGTTCGAATCTGAGCTCCGTTTTCCTCGAAGTTTCATAGGCGAGCTACGCATCAATAGAAAATGAGTTATCGGAAAAATGTTTTTCATAGCTGGATTGGTTTATATAGTTGAAATAGGAGGCCTATGTGCCACGAAACTTCATTGTTATTCGAGGCACAAATAAAAACGAGGTTGGGAAAGTTTCAGTTTTCTGTCTATGCAGTTTGCAACACAATTGATAATCGCGAAAGAATAAGTCTTCGCATGACGGTTTGTTTGTCCGCGCTCTGATTGGTTGAACAACACCGACCAATGAGATATGGGCATAACTTAGATTCAGTAAATCGTTGGGCTATAGCATGCAGTGCTTGTTGAATCAGATATTTGTTACACGGCCTTCAAAAAATAAGGTTTCTGAATGCTGGAAGTTCAGTAAATCAGCGTGTTGGTGTCTATACGTGTAGGCATGGCTGGAGGTGTTGGTGGCAGTGGGCACATGGTTTCAGATAAGTGTGTGTATGAGCGGATATGAATCTTCGTTTAGGTCTACGCTTGAAGCCAGGTCTGACTGTTTGTAGGGGTGTGTATATCCAGTTGTAGGTGACGACACGGATGTGTTAGTACCATTAAATGCTGCTTTCCGATGGGGTGTGAATGTATAATTGTGGTGGTTGATTTGTGTGTAGGTGTATTGAAAGTGAGTATGGATGATATGCGAATGTGGGATGGGGATCTGGATGAGGGTGCATATTACTGTGAGTGTGATTCTTGTTGTGGCTGTCTGTGTCACAATGAGTGTCAAGCAGTTTACTGATTATGAAGAGGTTAGTGGAAGCTTCCACTGCCTAAAATGAAGAATTCCATGCAAAACTCTGTATATACATCTAATGAGTCGTCACTAAGAGGGACTTTAGTGGTTTCAGCTCGGTCTCTGGCAGACTTTCATATGTAGATGCTGTTTTTCTGGCAAAATATAGCAGAAAGTCAATAGTTTCAGCAGCGTTGTGTTCATTTCAGCCATGAAAAGCAATGAATGCGATGTCTGTCGAATCTTCACATTTTCCACTTGCAAGAACGGTCGAAAACTGTATTAGACGTTGCAGCTGTTGCTTAGAGATGGCCAATTGACATGTAAAAAGTTTATTAAATCCAGATAGAATTTCGAGAAAAACTAAATTTATCTGAAATTTAAGTTGGAAAGATTTTTATTTCTTTTGAACTTGAATTGACAAGAACGTAACTTAAAAATAACTAACAGGAAAGCGCTGCCCCTGTCATTATTATGGACGTCGCGGGGGGCGAGGAATGGGCATCGATTTAGAGTGTGAAGGAGAAAGGCTGTTGAATATGTGTATGGATGTGGGGATGTGAGCGGGTGTGGTTGGGCATGAGTTTGAGAATATGGGTGTGGCGGATCACACTGTCTGATGGTAGACCATACTACATCATTACGTGCACCGACACCTATACTCGCACCCCCGTCTCATTTAGAAATGCGCCTAGCAATGTAGGAGTTTACGCTCCATAGTATGTTCTCTTGCTTGCAGGATTGTATTAAGCGAGGATCATGGTACCGACCCGCTACTTGCGTTCCGTATTAAATCGAAAAAGTGCCCAGATTATAATATATAAAAATCTTCAAACGGAGGAATCTGAAAGCATTTGCCATCGACTATTAGAAACTCATCTGTAACAATAAAATTAATCTAGAACAATGTGAATAGTTAAAAATAGGAATTGTGTACAAACACATAAAATAATGCTCGACAAACCTTAAATGTGTTTGAGCTATGATTGCATACACTTTATTCATCTATAGTATTCTTTATGCCATTCTGACGTACTGAATTCCTCCAGTTCTGGATAAAGTAGTAGAACAAACAGGTATCCGCGATTAACTATTATATATCATCTCGTATATCTTGCAAAATATCTTCAGTGATCGATTGCATAGTGAAGATCGAAGATGCATAATACTCTGGCTTAGCCTATACATCACCTCAGACTGGTCCAATTCTAAACTCTTTTTAACCACTTGTTTATTTTTATTTGAATGTATTTATAAAGTTTTGTGCAAAATTAAATTCTCTATTGAAGGGTATTACAAAAAGGCATCAAACCATGGAAATAGTCTTTTGAAAATGAACTATTCTTTCATTCTTAAAAGCCGCAAGATAGCCTATTTGGCTGGGTGCCAAAGCAAGGCAAACGTTTGATCGACCAAACCTAAAGTTAAACCAGTGACAAGTAATCTTGAATCTACAGTCGCTGAAATTTTCATGTGAAATTCTATTTACTTTTTATTTTAGCCAAAATGGCTCCAAGACATCCCCGTCCGTTGCAACGAGACAAATTTGACATTGGTGTATGATACATGACAGAACCGCTTGAATTGTATAATCGAGATTGTGGCCACATGTATCACTATCTATGAGGCGTAATAGGAGGGAGCCCAAAGTTTGTGACAATATGTGACTGGTATGTGACGACGTCGTACTAAGAAAAGAAGTGGATTCGCCGCGTAATAAAAACTTGTACGAAACTAATAGAGAGTCCATGAAACTATCTCTTTTTTGTGCACCACAGCGGAGTATTGATCAGAGTTCAGTTTAAACGACGACGGCACCTTACGCGTGTGCATTCTTTTTAGCGTTTGATTCTTAGAAAGATCATGAACTTAATCAGATTAATTTTTAAGCAGAAGAAACGTTTATTGGCTGCTGCTGCTATTGCACTTTCGCTAATATACGGCGAGTCAATTAGAAAAACATTACAGACCAAAGCTCTTCCCTGTCAGGAAAGCCCTGACTTTTCAATATCCGAAATAACTGGGTTTGTTCATGGTGCACTTACCATTGAAAATTGCACTTGGATTTGTAGAGCAAATATTTCCCATTATTTTGACTGGACATGGCATCGAAATGGTGAGTATAATCGATATTTGAAAATTAAAGCATCGGATTATACCATACCACAGGCATCCACATTGAGTGCATTTAAAAAGCCTATTGTTGTTAATGATGTCAGATTATATCTTTACACACATCCAGAAGAAGGATTCATCGTGGATGTTTTTCGTCAGCTACCAAACAGTGTACCTCATCCTCTTCCAATTGCGAAGAATCTTAGTCAGACTTGTCACGAGCTCAATTTAACAAACTTCAATGCTTGGCTGTCGTGTGTACTTGATTCAACACTACTTGCACGTCGAATACCCGCCACCACTCATTTCGTGACTGTCGGCATATTTAACGCGTTTGTAGGCATGGCTTCATCATGTGGACCCGAAGGAACTGTGTACACACCATATGCTACTTTCCATTTTCAGAAATGGTCTACTAGTCCATGCCATAACTCGCCCTTTGCTGTCAATCATACTGAAAAAAACGTTGAACTTTACGATGAACTACTTGATTCAGTGGGTGTTGGTCTGTCTGATCATGGTCATTTTGCTCCTCAACAGTTACCTCGTATTCTACGATTATTAGCAGTCGCTCCTCAGAGCTCGAAATTGCTCGTGGCTAGCGGTGGTGCAGCTGATCAATTTGTAGATATACTTGTCAACCAGAGCATTATAACACGAGACAGGATCATACCATATGATAAAAACAAAATCTACCAAGCTAAAATTGTCTATCGCTCAGAAGCATGGCCCTATTTGTCTGGTGATCTCTATGGAAAATATCTGCATGATCGTACTGATATGGAGATTGTACATCGATCACTTATTCTCAATGAGCTACCTGAAGAACAACGAAATATCATACTTATAGTTAAGAGAAAACCATATCAATCACGGTCACTGATAAATCATAATGCCATGGTAAATATGATTGAACAAATATTAGCTAATTTTTCGAAGACATTACTTAAGATACAAATTTTTACAGGTGAAAGTCATATTAGAGACCAAATTAAAATCTGGCAGAAGTCAAAAATTGTGATCTCTCCTCATGGTGCTGGCCTAATCAATGTTATGTGGATGAAACCAGGATCATTTGTCATTGAAATTGGGTATAAGAGTGGATGGACATTACCTGAGATGTATTTCGAAATAGCCACTCATTGTAAGCACAAATACTGGCTAGTAAAAGCTAAAGGAGCATATCATACTCAATTGTCCGTTGATCTTGCTGACTTGCATTGGGCTGTCGTTAGTGCTCTACAGCTAATCTCTCACTAAAGACAAAGCTTTCGAAAGTGAAAAAGTAGAGTTCCAAAGTGGTAACTAATGGCACAGAGCCTTTTCATTGGTCTAAACCACATTTAATAAAAATTCTTCAACTTGACAATGGCGTTTCTCAAATATTATGAACAAACTGCTTAATCGAAAGAAGAAATTGCTGGAAAACGAATTTACGTTTGCTGTATCATTTGAATAGTTTTTGTTACATTTTTACTCGTGCATTACATAAATAGCTATCTAATTCTGGTGTCATTTTTATACTAATTTACGGCGCTCATCAAAGTGACTAATAAAAGTGGGTTTAAATAATTCCGTCAAGCTTTTCTCAACCCGTAAGGTTTTTATCTCAGCGATAGAGGACATTTCAAAATGTTTTTCTATCATGAAACCAGAGGAAGTAACGCTTCTAGCTGTCATAATTGGCCTCAATAAAAAATTCTGGTTCTTCTGATTATCGAAATATCACACTTTGTGGAGCATAGTCCGATAAGTGAAAGCTTTGATCCTTTGTTGTGCCCGTGTTGTGGCAGGTACATAAGACATGCCATAAGAAATTATGTTATATGTACTATTGAATACGTGTTCCTTGTGGTCACACTTTGTATGTGACCACAATGAACACCTATGCGTCATTTTCTGCAAACAGAAGGACTGAACTATACAAACTTTATTTGAAATAAAAAAGCTTGTAACATTTATATTTGAATCGATTACAAAATTTTTCTACGCATTTTTATTTCTTTGGCTCGTCTTGCTAGAATTTGCAGCTATATTTTCGAGTCTGTCGGCTCAAAAACAGGTATTTTTAGCTATGTTTCAGCATTGTTAGACAGGGTGTGGGTGTGGATATGGGTGTGGGTCTTTTGTTCATCCCTACCCACATCCATACTCACACCGACACCCATACTCGCACCCACATCCACCCACACCCACACCCTAACTACTTTTTTATCTGGCTGCCTTTCTAACTGTCACTCTTTCTAACTAAGTATCCAGTTATCTATCTATTTATCTAACTACCTGTCTATCGAACGATTCACTTATCTAACGAGATGCCTATCTGACTAACTAGCAAACTCAACTAATTGTGTCACTATATATATTTATCGATCAATCTAACCACTAACTTGAACCTCTTGACAAAAGTCTCTCTGTTTCCCTCTTTTAATTCGTATTGCCTCACGTTGGCTTCTAACAAATGTTCACTGCATAATGTCGTGGGAACTTTATTTCAGTGTAGTTAGGACTGATTAGTACTTGTTTCAACAGAGAAAATACGTCTTTCAATACTAAGTGAGATTCTTGCGAGATTGCTTCATGATATTACCATGTCTTTTTTGAATATGATAATGGCTTAACTATTTTGGACTTACTCAGATCTCCATTGTTGGCTGTACATTGCCGATTTGTCGTTGAATTGGTAGTGACGAGGGTTCTACAGGTGAAAAACAGTGAACCAGTTAGCAATTACATAACAGAAATAATAAAGTCAACGAAAATTCTACAAAATTACCCGTTTGTGGTAATGATGAATAGTACTCAAAGAAGTACCTTCTTCATTGAAGTAAATTTTTATAAGTGTAATGCTATACCAAAATAAAGTGCTTAAATTGTTCTTATAATAAATATACAGTTGATATCAAACGGATGCAATGTTGAAAAAAGCTGTTATCGTAATCCACTGCGAGAGTAAAGTATACAACACGGCTTGGATATCTGTAGCATAAGATGGAAAAATGATTTTATCAAAAGCTTCTATTAATGTTATGTCTCTATTGGGTGGATTATGTTGTTTAAGTATTACGTACTTGTACTTTGATAAAAACAGAGTTTTATAATGAACTCAATCAACCTCATTATATAATTCTCAGATGTTTTTACTTCTGTCTTCCATCCTCTATTATTATGAAAATTCCTGAAAAAGCAAATTTGGTCAAGTCTAAAGATAGTCATGTGTCTGAGAAGTTTCCTTCTAAGTGGCTATAAAGAGAAAAAATATAATCGGAAGAGGAAGAAAATACGATGAATGCAGACAGTAAGTTAGAGAACATAAGGTGACAGAGGAAGGCCGTATGAATCAGCATTGACTATGATCGATGGCTTCCGTGTGTGGACTTTTAGTTCATAATTTTCATTATTTACAGTGGCTGTCAAAATTGTGCAATCACCCCTTATGATGAACTTTTGTTGCCTAGTTTTTCGATGATGACAGCAGATAGAAACCTTTAGTTTTCACCACATTAGTCTTTAATGCTTAGTACATATATATACAGAAACTCAAGCTACCATCTCAATCTGTCAGGTAAATATGGCTGAGAAAAGTGAAATCCTATAAACTTTCCATCCGTCAAAATTGTGCGACCACTTCCTTATACATCTTCTGTAAATTTATTTCAACTTCAAAGTCACGTAAAAACACACCATTCATAGAGAAAATTCTCCTATACAAGATAGACTACTTTTCATGCCACTATGCTTGACAAAATGACTCATTAAGGATTGTTTCCTAAAATTACCGATTATATTCGAGAAAGGGTGGTTTTCTGTTGAAGCTGTGAGCAAAGTTGAATTCTGACTGGATCATTATAAAGAGCACATCAAACTGTACTAGAAAGACTATTTGCATCGTACAGAATCTGAGAGAAACTGGGATAACGGTTACTATATACACCTCGTCGGGTTGTGGTAATCTGTGTTTTGTCGGATATTTTGATAGTAGAATGGATTAGATGATGCAAGAAAATTATGTTTACAGCGTGGATTTATGGAGAATTTTATTCTCTACAATATTAGAATGTTCAGAAAGATTAGTGCTCAAAAATAGAAGCGATCAAATCCTACCATTTTTCTAAAAACTACAAGAGTTAGTGATGTGTGTGTACTGTGGAGACAAATAACTCTCATTTTCACGAAATACAAAACCAAGTTCTTCGGCAACGTAGAACATTAACAATAGGGATTATCTTCTAAGCATAAGGCATAGAAAATATTCCATCGCAGATCATTTTTGATGAAATTCAGGATCATCTTGTTTCATAGTGCTGACACAGCAGTAATCTTTATGGTTTTTAGACAAATGGTAGAATTTGATTGCTTCTATTTTTTAGCACTGACATTTCTGGACATTATAATATTGTAGAGAATAAAATTCTCCATACATTCACGCTGTAAACATAGTTTTCTTGCATCATCTAATCCATTCTACTATCAAAATATCGGACAAAACACAGATTACCACAACCCGACGAGGTGTATATAGTAACCGTTATCCCAGTTTCTCTCTGATTCCGAACGATGCAAATAGTCTTGCTGGTGAAGTTTGGTATGCTCTTTGTAATGATCCAGTCAGAATTCAAATTCTCTTACAGCTTCAACAGAAAACCACCCTTTCTCGAATATAATCGGTACTTTTAGGAAACAATCCTTAATGAGTCATTTTGTCAAGCATAGTGGCATGAAAAGTAATCTATCTTGTATAGGAGAATTTTCTCTATGAAATTGTGTTTTGACGTGGCTTTGAAGTTGAAATAAATTCACAGAAGATGATTAAAGGAAGTGGTCGCACAATTTTGACGGATGGAAAGTTTATAGGATTTCACTTTTCTCAGCCATAAGTACCTGACAGATTGAGATGGTAGGTTGAGTTTCTGTATATATATGCCCTAAGCATTAAAGACTAATGTGGGGAAAACTAAAGGTTTCTATCTGCCGTCATCATTGAAAAACTAGGCAACAAAAGTACACTATAAGGGGTGGTCACACAATTTTGACAGCCGCTGTATATAAATCTACGATATGAAGTCAAATACGACTGCAAGACAAAAGATTATAGTTTGCTATCTTTTCGTATCATTTTTCCTTAGACGAATACAGAAACAAATAACTGACATAGTGAAGATTTTGTACACAGGAAATAGATAATTGCTGCTTTTCCTTTTTAATTTCTTCGAAAATATCTTTCAAAAAGTAATTAAGCTCCTCAAGACCAAATAATCGATTTATACAATTCTGTCGAACTAAAATTGTTTTATTGTGCTGGTATATAAACAAAGTTTTTTGTTATTATTTTTAAATAGAAAACTATATTTATAAATTATGAGGTATTGCGCTCAAATGAATAACTTACTCATAAATCCAACACAACTAGCTGGAATGTGCAATTCAAAGCAGAATTTCATTTCTCTGCTATCGTCACCGTTGAGTCTCTTCGAGATGAGTAGTGATTCAATACTTGATTCACGTTTAAAATTTTAAAAAAATTATGTTTCCAAGTATCAAACTGTTAAATATATAAGCGGTCAATTTTCTACTGTGAATTTCAGTTTTCTTATTTCAAGCTTGTGCATAAGTTTTAACCGACGTCAAAAGTAAACTTCCGGCTTTTTAAATATTTGCTTGCATTTGTTATATTGACAGCTGTGTCGATTGAATTATTGAAATGTATGTCAAACACATATACATGTTATTATCCAAATTCAAATGAGAAAGGGACAAGCATGGGATACATATCGATTAGCATACACCAACTAGAATAGCTTGCCTACACTTCTTATTTAAAATATCAAGAATTTCATTCATGCATACAACTACAAGCATCTAAATGATACGTATATGCATGCATTAAAATACTCAACCTTTGAATTTCTCATCGTTTAAAAAACTTTTTTTCCGCACTTAAGCTCAAAAAATATCCTCTCATGCGTGCAAAGATTTATCTAGAAACTGAAGAAAATTGAATACTGCATGCCAGTGTCAATTTTGAGAGTTACAAATTAGCTTTTTTAGTAGATTCTAAAAAATCGTAGAATGAAAAAGTTTTAAAGGGTTTATGAAAGTGCAACGGATACAAAAAGCAGCTTTTATCGTTTATAAAACCTTCCTAAATGCCTTCATGAACCATCTAGGAAGGTTAAATGAAAACGTTTTATAGCCTTGAAACACCATTCGTAAAACGTTGATGAAAGAATTTATAATATTTCTAAATCCTTTAGGAGTTTGCTATACATTGTACTTTGACAAACCTTTTGTAAGGGTGCTTGAACTTCATAAACGCTTTCAAATAGCCTCCAAGCCCACCATCCAATGATTACAATGAAAAAGCAACTTCGATACAAAACTTAAATAAGATTCCAACATTTCCAACGAAATCAGAATCTTTTTAAAGTTATGTATTACAGATAAGGATTAGTAAAAATAGATTGTCGCTTAAAATCAAAGAGGGTTACGTAGTAAAAATTTTCTAGGAACGCCAATACAACCTCGTTATACTTACACCAATTCATTCATCTCTGCGTACACTACTATCTATCTAAATCTATTTTCTGGTATATACACATCTTCCCTTAATGTAGCTCCTATGGATATCCGCTTGATCTATCAGTCTAAATTTATCTTCCTAAATCAGCACCTATCTCCTTCATCTATCCCCTAATTTATCCCCTTAATCTGTCTTATTAATCTATGCCCTTAATCCATTCCCTCAAGCTAACGTCTTAATCTAGATCAGTCACATTAGTCTAAGTGCTTCACTTATTCCTTTACTTTCAACTTTTAATTTATCGCCTTAATCTATCTACTTAATCTGTCTTCTTAATCTATCCTCTAAGCCCATACCTTTAATGTATTCTGTTAATTTGTCTCCCTAATCTACTTAAGACTTCACTTCGAAACGAAGTTCTTCAGAAAAACAGAATTTAAGATAAAGAAATATTCGGATGCTTTGAAGTGTACACGTTAATAATGAACATGATTTTGAGGTATCTTTTCTCTAAAAAAATGAATTTTCGCCTAAAGAATTTGACATCCATTGAAGAAAAATCAATAGTTTTTGGAGAGAGTAGGTTTTGTTTACAAACCATTATCTTTTTGAAAAAAAAATATCAGCTTTTGAGGGCACGAGATAGTCAAATAGGCTTATGTGTATGCTATTCAAATCAGATGATTATTCATACGAGGTGCATTTTGAAAAGCGTCTTGCGAAATTTTCATTCTTCAGGCATATTTTGTCAGAGTTATTATAAATATTGCGGATCAATTCAGTTCACAAACTTCGTCAAAAATATAAAATAGCCTGTATAAGGAAGATTGTTTTCCACTAGATGATTGCTAAGAAAAAAAAAGATAAATGACACTACTTTCTCAAAATAATGCCAATATTACTATGGGCGTGCGTCAGTGTATTGGTTGGGATAAAGTGAAAAGCTACATCCGCACTCACAACTACTTGAAATGGAGGTGAATAGCCAAAGTAAGCTTGATTAAAGAGAGAAACACGCGTTTGTCCTGATGAACTTCTGAGAATATCGAGAATTAGTCAGTAGTGCCATCACAATCTCCATCCAGAAATTCAGCTGATCGCTTTATCTTTACAGAGTCTTCGCTAAGCGTTCACTCGTGTAATCAATATTATTTTCTTACATATGTCATTAATGAAAAAGCTCGATATCAAGAGATATATGTAGGATTCAGAAATTCGCAATTCAAGGAAATTCAAGGACTGCAACAAAGATACGTAGCGTAGTGAGTTAGAATTCTAAACTACGATGGAATTCAAGAAAATCAACGCAATCAAGCGATTGAAGAAATTCAAAGAAAATCGAGAAATTCGAGGAATTCAGCAATAGTTTCAGAAGAAAGGGAGTTATAAGTCTAATACATGATGGAATTCTGGAAATTAAGAAAATCAGCCTATTGAAAAAATTAAAGAAAATTCAAGAAACGTACAAACCATAATGAGTTATATGTCTACCCTAGGATGGAATTCAAGTAAATCAAGAAATTCATGACATTATATGATGTGTTGAATTTCTTAAATTTTCTTGGAATTGCTTGAATTCTTTGATTCCCTTGAATTCCATAAAACTTTCAACGGTATAATTCAAAGTTATACGATATGTTGAATTTCTTGAATTTCATGATTGTTTCAAACAATATACTTTAGCTTAAACGGATGTGTTGAATTGGGAGTGGGTGTGGGTGTGGGTATAGATGTGGGTATGGGTGGGTGTGAGAGTGGGTGTGGGTGTGGATATGGGTGGATCCGGGTGTTGGGTGTGGGTGTCTGAGTATGGGTATGGGTGTGTGAGTGTAGGTGGGTGTGGATATAGATGGGTGTGGATATGAGTGGGTGTCTGAGTATGGGTGTGGAGGTGTGAGTGCAGGTGGATGTGGATATGGATGAGTGTGGATATGAGTGGGTGTAGATATGGGTGGGTGTGGATATGAGTAGGTGTGGATATGAGTGGGTGTGGGTGTCTTCTCTTCTTACACCTATACACACACCTGAGTCGCACAGATTAAACCGTACACATTTAGCCGTATAGGATTAAGCGGTTTAGATTGACAAGCATAGAAAAGGAGTAACAAAACACCCTAGAAAAGAATGTGCTTTCTTTATATACGAAAATCGGTGCATTGAATGAAGAATGTAGAGCACAGTTTTGTGCGGATCTTGTCGAAGTCAATTTCTGAAGATCGAAATTCGTTCTCTCGGGGGTGTATTGAATTTTTTTCGAAATTACGCTGTACATGCAAGCTGGTCCTGAAGGTAAGCGAGCTTTTTTTATCGTTTCCGATCGAAACGATAAACCGGATGGACTCTACAGATTGCATATGAGACCTCCTGAAGTTTCACAGCCCACAACACTCACACACCCATACCCATACTCAGACACCCACACCCAACACCCGGAACCCCCCA